ACATCCGACTTCCCTACAGGTGAATTTGGATTAATAATGATAAACTGTTAAAGTGTAGTCACCAAGATTGCTTACAAAAGTGTCGTTAGGATGCCCTTCAATGTCTTTTCATCTCGTCCTTAACTATTATGGTGGATTAAGTGTTTTACTATTATCAACTGAACACATTGCTAGATTTAAAACACTCCCGAAATCATCAAAGTGACGTGGTCTTTCTATGTCAGAGAATGAATTGATATTGGTTGACTGACAGAATAGAACTTTTATCGGAGCTCCATCGGCAAAAATTGTTAACAGAAATAACAGTAAAAGCAGAAAGTAATCAGAGATTTTTTAATTTATTGATATAAATCAGACTGATGTTTTGAATTTTAGCATTGGACAACATTTTTTCTCTCTATGTGAAAGTGCTAATCTTGCTGTCGTGATGCATTTATTAAAGAGCAAAAAGGAAGATGCCAACACACAATGACAGTCAAAAAGTTTACAAAAAAATGTCAGAAGAAAATCAGCCTCGGGTGCTGCCTAAACATCCTGCTTTCGCTTTGACAGTTTGGATAGTTTTCACTTTCGTCATTCAAGCAGAAAAAAAAAGCACTACACGATAGTTTCAGAGGTATTCTCTGCATTCAATGGATACACACACCGATGCAATCATGTTTTGAAAGAGAATTCACAAAGCACTTGTCAATAGGTTTAAACGGATGATAAAGTGAACAAAAATCTCAAAAGGGATTCATTGTAGTAGCATCTTTTGACGGAACAATTTTATACAGTTTAACCGCTGGAGTATTACCTTTTTGGCATAAAAAGATCTACTGCAATACAGCGACAATCCAGCGAAGAGCTAGTGCTGGATATTGTGTAGACTCATCTAATTTTCGCCTCTTACCCTTTTTCCTCTCCCCCCCCCCCCCCCCCCCCCCCCCCCCCCCCCCCTCCCCCCCCCCCCCCCCCCGCCCCCCCAACCAACAACCCCCCCAAAATGACAACCCGACCGGTCCTAGAACAACACAACACCCAACATAACTAACACACTCACCTCTTCTCACATTAAAATACCTACTTACCAAATTTAATAAAGTTTTACCGTTGGAGTATTACCTTTTTGGGAAAAAAAAAATTACGGCAATACAGCCACAATCCAGCGAAAAGCTAGGGCTGGGTATTTGTTATACTCATCTAATTTTCCCCTCTTACCCTTTTTCCCCCCCCCCCCCCCCCCCCCCCTTCCCGCCCATCCCTTGCCTATGACCTATGGAGAGCGTAAACAAAAGTAAAGACAGACAGTTGTCACTCCAGTTTTGGTACTAAACAGATCATCAGACGTAATCAAATACTATCACCTGCTTTTGACCTATGAAGCAGTGATCTGATGAAAATAGGCCAAATTGCAAAACGTGTTCCTTTAGCATCCAGGTTTCGTTTCGCCAATTTCCCTTTCCTATTAAAGCAAGAGCTCTTCAGTTGACTTTCCTGCTGCCTGACTGTTCTTTGTATCAAAAGGTATGTTACAACTAAATATCCGGGGGAAGGGGCCTAGGGTAGAAAAGTACCATTTAGTGTTTCAAGCATTTGAAAGACGAAAGAAACATAGTTAATTCTACCGTTCGTCATATCTGCATTTCCTTAAACTTAGCTGTTCATTATTGTTATTTTAATCGGTGACACCTGTACAAAATGGTAATACTGAATAAACTTGTTGTTGTTGTTTCAAACCCCGTAAAACTACCATCGACATTTTTTACGATGAGTAAGGAATAGGAACCCTGTTTTACGACCATACGTTAAGCTATTTGGTTAACCTGTCCTTTGTATCTCCGTCGCGCCCCCCGTTCTTTAGCCTGCGAAAACAGCCGTCTCTCCTCGTTCCTCGCCGTTAGGGACGCTTCGCCTGGCGGAACGTGCCTAGTAGCAAGGAGCGAAGAGAACCGGCTGGTTTCGCACGCTACCGGTTCTTTCTCGCACTTCCAAGCGCCTGCTAGCGGGGTATGATAGTCTCAAAGCAATAAACAAGCGTGTTGGATTTTATTCGGACACCTCCCGCCATTACCTAATGGATACCGTAAACAAATATGTGCTTTTGATGCACATTTTTTACCTGCTTAGTAGTAATCTGATGAAAACTATTAAAAACAGATGCTGCGTTAACATCCTGCTTTCGCTTTGTCAGTTTGAATAGTTTTCACTTTCGTCAGCGTAAACAAATATGTGCTTCCAGATCTGAGGAACATTTTTTTTACTTAAGTGAAACAGACGCCACCCCAGATTATTTTAAAAAACCCTGCTTTCAGATTTGACAGTTTTCACCCTCGTTATTCAGGTTAAATACAGCGGAAGCTCTCGTAAGAATCTCGTAAGCGAACACCCTTGGGACGCTCAAAAAGGTGTCCGTTACAGGAGCTGGCCATTTATAATTAGGAGAATGGATGTCATAAGTGGTACCCCGTAAGCAAAGGCTACATTTTCGCGGTATGAGCTGGCGTGCGAAAAGTACTTTCGTAATACTAAGGAATTTACTGTGTATAAGAATATCATACCATTCAGATTGCACAATAATGATGATGGTGGTAAGAACAAAAATAGTACACTACAAGAGCAAGGTGTGAGCAATAACTGTGTTTACAAATTAAACTAGAGGCCTCACTCTGCCTTTCAAAAACTAAAACAATCAAAGGTGAATCTTTCCTTTTACACCAGCTATTTCTCTGATATATAAGTAAATTCTTATAACTTGCATGTACGCCAAGCAAATTTCTTGACAAAGAGAGGTGCACAGCACTCAAAGGAAACATACATATATCATATCACGCGTTATTCTGAGTGGAAGTTGAAGGTTTCCTAAACGTTTCGTAGTCGTCGCGTTCCAGTCAAAAAAGGTATAAGCACAAAATTTATTTTCTATCACTTCGCCAGTAATGAAAGCAAAAATCACCACCGATACAAATAAACTTAAGAATTAGCATTTGGGACATTCACTGCAAGTTTTGCGAACTGTAAGCTTACCTTCTCGCGCTCTCTCTTCATACGAAGATATCTCTCAGATTCCAGATCTGTTGATTGATCCTTCTTCTATATGCTAGCAAAAGATCCAAGTTTAATTTTCCGCCGCTGGTTTGCGTTGAGAGCCGCCGTAAAAGCAGTACTCTTCGAAGTTATTAAACCGAGAAAACAACGAAACTGTCAGCTGTAAACAATCTCTCATTCTCTTGGTCAGACTAGCGTGCAGCACAATTTGTTTGATTGAAGTGATTGCTGCACACATACGGAGACTAATGTAGTAAAATCGAAAGAGTTTTCCTAAACAAGAACTTCTCGAAGTGGGAGAGAAACCGAACGTTATTTGAGCAGGGCTCGTTCAAGAAATTAGTCAAGTTAAGAAAATTACGTCACATAGCTATAGTCTTGTATTCTTGGTATCCAGGCCACAGGATCATAGCCTTTTTATGGCGGACGAAAATTAATGGTTTCTGAGCGCAAAAAATACCACTTTCCTTAATCGTATGAAGCTATAATTTGCACACGCAAAAAAAAAAGTATTCAAGGATTTGATCATAGTAGGACTTTAAAACCCCGAAAGTTGACCCTGTCACGTTTTATAAGCGCACAACGTAAGTCAAGTTATACTGTAATGCTATATTTTGGGGGTCAAGGGATTGGGGCATTGGATGCGTTGTGGAAAGTCCGAGTTAAAAATAATGCCAATCGTTTCTTGTTTCAAAGGCTAACTTGCCTATTTTTATTCATAGCGGTAGAAGCTACTATACAGCCTCGGCTTAAAAACGCGCAGTCGGTAGACCAATAAACCACCATTATAGGGTCTTGTTGATTAGCAAATCGAGGGTATCAAACGGAGCTGATTAAAGATCTGCGGGTATCACATCGTTAATTTCTTTAAGGGATCATCGTATCTTTTATCCCATGTTGTAAGTCCATATTTTACATCCATGGATTCAAAACTGATAAATGTAACCTTATATAAGCTATGGCCTAGCGCTTTGGGGCCAAGCTGTTCAATCTAATTTTATCTTAATAAGATCTTGATACCACAAAAGCGTGCGCTTCGCCTCATCAATTTTGCACCGTTCAAATCTCATGTTGTCCCTTTATTTGACCTCTATTATGTTCTTCCTCTGGATTTTCTGTACTTTAAATCCATTTGTATCATAATGCATGCCGTATTTAATAACAAAGCACTCCTTAATATCTCCAGTTTTGTCACTCTCGCCTATGAAACACATTATTACAACACTAGATTTTCTCAGGCTGGCACTTTCGCCATACAAAATTCCAGAACACAGCGGAGAATTAAGTCGTTTTCTTACAACGGGCTAAGGCGTGGAATTGCATTCCTCTTAATATTCGTTCATTATTAACTGGGCTGGCCGAAGGCTGGCCCAGTTTATAAAATACGTGGTGGGGGTGTGCCGTCCGACTCTCCCAATCCTGATCCTAGACGCTATTTTAGACCAATACCTATAAGGCAAATATAACGGAGTAACCCGGGATTTTTGTGTCAAAAAATGAACGCTATCAATCATTAACTAAGTAATCCAGGGGGGTATTCCTGGGAATTCGTGGTGGGGGTGTGTTGTCCGGCTCTCCAAATCCTGATCCTAGACCTTATTTCAGATCAATACCCATAAGGCAAATGTAAGGGAGTACTCCCCAGGGGATTTTCGTCGTCATGATGATGATGAACACTATCGGTTGTTAATTTGGTAACGATAAAGTATGTTAAGCGAAGGCAGCCATTAAATGGAGATGTGTTTGAAACTAGCATACTTTTCTTTTCATCGAATAAGGACGAATAAGGACGTCTCTTAAGCTATCATTTGTATGTGAAGTAAATAAGGGTTGTTGTTGTTAATAACCACTACAGTGTTTACAATGAGAGCGACTTTTATCGGTTTTAAAATTGTTCACGTTTGAAAGGAAGCCGCAGACGCATATTAAGTTTGTTTCAGTTTGTTTGTTTTTTTTTCCCCGATCCAGAATTCATGGCTCAGAGAGGAGGTAAAGAAGCAAATGAGAGTGACGTCACATCACCTGATGTAGGGCAAAAGCTGTGTTTTGATGACGAGACTTTGAAAGGTAAGGTAACGGCTACAAAGACCATTACCAAGATATTCACATCAGCTTTTAACATGTCCAAAGCAGACATATTTTTCTTATTCTCTTACGATCCTAGAATAAAGCCCAACACGAGCCTTTTCGAAAGCTTGTGCCTTGAAAAATGAATGTCGCCTTTCGCGAAAGCTCTCTGTATAAAGTGTCTAGCTTCTAACATAAAAAATATAATTATTAAAGCAATTCTTGGCTTCAGTTTGCAAAAATTTGGTGTTTCTTTGGTGACGTCTGCGCTCAGGATACAAAGATATCTTTCTGCTGGAGGGTCTATCGTATGAGGGACAACTGCTAAAAAACGGCCTATTTCGATTTCTTTTCGCGTCTTGGGGGTTGTGTAAATTTTGTGAAGTTGATGCTGTTTTATTGATTTGATTTATTTCCTTGCATATTTTTGCGAGTTGTTTAAAAATTCTTTCATGAAAGATGTTCTGCTGCATTATGTAATAACGACGCATTTTGGTAATAACTTACGCAATTTGTAACAATGCCCTGACGCAAAGTGTAATAATTTTGTTCTTGCAAGAACAACATACAAGCAAATGAGAAAACAAAAAATAGTGTTACTTAATTAGCAGCAACGAGGCCTTAATACAAAAGTAAGCCTTACGAGTCGATTGCCTGCGTGCAGACGTCTCCTATTTCCTTTGTTGCACGCGAAAAAGGGACGTCTGCGTAACGCCGTCGCTAATCGTGTTCCAGCTTCCCGCTGGCATGGAATTCTATTTCGCATAAATTGTGAAATAATATCCGGTTAGTAATAAGAGTTGACAGGCCAAACACAACATCATAAGCTCGTTATAATGCGAAACGTGACCTTGAGAGTCTGCTTGCACAGAGGTTTTTCTTCTTTTCTCTCTCGCACTACACAGTGCATGTAGCAGTCTAAATTTTGACTGAGTAAATCTCGTTTTTGCCGCACCAAGTCTTACATTTAGAGGTCACGAAGCAGGCTTGTTACATGCACACTGAGTAATCATTTCCTGTGGCTTATGCTTCTGTGGGTGTTCCTGATAGGATTTGATTTCAGATGCAGTTCTGAAGTGTTTAAATTTTCTTTGACCTCTGTTTGTTATGGCTTAATAAAGATTTTAGTTTTTTGGCTGGCTTTCTCCGAAATGCCCGCCTGGTGCGAAGTCCACGCCGCTTTTGTACGGTCTGCACAGAATGGCACATGTTTTGATTAGTTTTGACCGGAAAACCCCGATTACATAAATCACTGCATACATTATCAGACCAGATTCAATAACAACCAATCAGCGTTAAGTCGAACAATGCGCACTGTGTGTCAGCCTATCACAGCATGTTCCCAAGATCTTGGGAACCCAGCGGGACGCTGGAACACGATTAGCGACGGCGTTACGCAGACGTCCCTTTTCCGCGTGCAACAAAGGAAATAGGAGACGTCTGCACGCAGGCAAACGAGTCGACGGCATCGACGAGTTAAGTCATGTTCATGAATACTGCCACAAGAAATTTTAATTGTTTAGAAAAGCGTTAATTAAAAAATAGATTCGACACGATCCATTATTACTGACTCTTAAATCGTTTCGTTCCACATACTTACGTTTTGTTGTTGTTGTTGCTGTTAATTATTGTTTATTCTCTGGTTCCTCTGGAACGAGAAAGAAGAGAGAGCTGAGAACGAGGTTGTGTTAGTGCCTCATAAACGAAGTGAACGAACCTGGTTTGGTTTTTTTAAATAAACATTATTAATCGTTAGTTCTCGTATTTAGGCAGTTTTGGTGGATTTTGCTTAGGTTCGAAACCCGGTCATTGAGAAGTGAATTTCAATTATCATTTCTTACGAACCTTTCAAGTCGCCAATTCAGTCGAACGAATCAGGCCCAGTAAGAGTGAGATCATTTTGACGCAATTCTCCTCTCGTAAGTGTTTCATTTCGAACGAAATGCACGTGTGGGGCTTCACCAGCCTTCCAACACAGTCAGACGCTCTATCATAGGGCCTTATTTTGCATTCCTCCTGCACTACTTTAACGAAAGTCCACCTTGTAATCTCAAAATACCAACATGCGGCCGACAAAATCATGATTCAAAACATCATGATTCATTGTTTTTGCAAAAATAGAATTATTACAATTTGCGTCAGGACGTTGTTACAAATTGCGTAGACGGACAATTTTGACAACTGAATTGTTCAGCTAAGTTAAACAAATTTCACAGGAAATTAGTGGTGACAGACTGAGCGAGGGAATTCATCGGTGTTTACGAGGTAACATGCAACAGAGTTGAGCAAACAGCATAAAGAGGTAAAAAGGGTCAAAATACATGGTGTCCTGCTTCAGTCAACAATTAATGGTTGTGGCTGAGTATCGTATGAAGAATTATGGAGATCGAAGAGGGTGATAACATCCTCCGAGAAGCCGACTTCAATAATTGTTTTATTATTCAGTCAAAATAATTCCTTGTTTAAAAACATAGCTAAAACATGCTTACTTCTATCGATACTATCTACTTCTATCTACTACTATTCTATCTACTTCTATCGCTCATCTTCGATAGTGCACGTTTAGGGTTGTTCAGCTCCGCAAATATTCTCCAAATAGCAGATGTCGTCCTTCGAGTTGTCTTCTTGCTGTTCTTACCGTGTTTTAAGCTATTATTTCGCCTAGTTCTTACTCTTGCAACGAGTGAAATGTCCGTGTTTCCACAACCAAAATAACTCAGCCTCGTCCCCAGGTCTTCTCTGTTAACGGTGCATTAACCTGCAAAAAAGCTGCACTTTTGACGTCATTGCTTGATTAATAGCAAAATTCTTCCAAATTTGGTCATCAGTAGCTGGTTATGGTGAATTATGCGTGTGTTTTTAGCCAATCAGAATCGGGGAAATGTTTTGAATGAATAATAATATACATTAACAATTTCTTAATTTAATTCATTTCTAGCGATAGCTGAGGTTTACTTTAACGAAGGTAATGAAGCATACAGAAAGAAAGATTACAGCAATGCCGTTTACTTCTATACTGAGGGAATTGAAGTTAACTGTAAGGATGAAGATCTCAAAGCTAAACTGTACAGCAACAGAGCACTTGCACATCATAAATTGGGTGAGACTATTTTCATTTATAAAATAGAAGGGGCAGAGCGGCCGAGTGGTCGGTACCTCGTTCTCGAAATCCTGACGTCTCGGATTTGTGCTCCGCTCCACCTGCTGGTTTTATTTCCCGCTAACTTCAAGTTTACTGATTGCTCAACTGTGCTTGTAAAATACAACTTGTCTGCCACCTGCCAGTTGGGGCTTTTAATTAAGTTTTTTAATTTAGAATATATTTTTGACTTTTTGAATGAAAGAAGAACATTTTTTCGTATACTTTTTCATTTTTCATTAACTCTTATTACTAATAGGTGTCGTACTGGTTTTAACACCTCACACTGTTATTAAGAGAAGAATGACGACGCATTTTTTAACAATGGTTGCGGCATTTTGTTACAACTTACGCACATTGTCATAAGAGCTGTGGTATTTTGTAATAAATGGAGGTTACGCATTTTTTTAAACCATCTTAATCATTAGTTACTAGTTAGCTAGTTTTAACAAAATATATTATTAATTTTGCTTAAATTTAAAGACCCCTTCAATTTCAGTAATATTTCTAATACTCCTTTAGAGATCCGACAGTATTTTGTAAGCACGAGTTGCATGTTCTTAGACAAGAAAACCCTGCTTAAAATTTGGCTTAAACTTAACCAACTTTCGAGGAGCTGGGCCCGGTTCATTACAAAAAGGCCGCAGTTCTTATTACAAAATACGTAAGTTGTCACAAAGTACCGCAACCCTTGTTACAAAATGCGTCGTTACTAGAGAATGTGTTTCTTATTGCTTTATCACGGCGTTGTTTTTCTTTTTTTGCAACACTCATAGGAAATTACAGTGGCTCACTTAGAGATGCAAAAGTTGCCAAGGACATACGACCACTGTTTATCAAAGCAATAACAACAGGTAATTTAAAAAAAGATCATAGACACTCATAGGCCTTAATTCCACGTTACTCTAATAATAAAGTAAGCGTTCGCGGCACAACTGCAGTAACAAAAACACTCAGCAGCAGCAACGATTTTTCTTTTCCAAACTATAGTGGAGCTTTCCAGTGCACCATGGGTAACAAAATTTGGTTAACTACGCATCCAAGAAAATTTTGTAATCACATGACCGTCCATCCTTGCGCACCACAGGCTACTTAATTTGAAATGTCATTTTTTAGCCGGTGTGGTGGGCTGGCAGCCTAAAACCTCTCAGAGCTTTACCCTGCGTAGCAAGCGTTTCCGCGCGAGTTCATCGAGAAAGTTGGGAAGAGAGTAAAAGAAGGAATGACAGGGGAGGGGGAGGGGAAAGAAGAAACGCTTGCCCGCAAACCCCACGATTTTGAAAAACTGCGTTCGCCCACGAACGCAGCTTGTGATTGGTGCGGTGCTAGTAGTGTTGATTACTTAGCACTCGAAACATCAATCAAACCAGGTATGCTTCGTTTACGAGCGTCACAGATCTGGTCTCAACTGATTTGTGGTCGCAGATTACAAATGCTTTGGACTGATATTTATTTGAATCGTGTTTGTGCAAAGGTTTATGAGATCTGCGTCTTCAAAGTATATTTGGAGATCGAGCAGTCGAGACTAGGGAAGGACAATTTATTGGGAATGACGGCGTGCGGATCTGACTGGAAAAAAACTAATAGACTGTTTGTAGGAGATACTATCAACGTAAATCAGAACATCAGTACTCAACACTAGCTAAAGCCGCCACAGACAAGCGATTTGTTAGCTTTTTGAAATGAAAAGATTCTTTTTGTTTATTGGAAATTTAGCGGCATGTATTGTAGAGAACGCCTCGACGAGGGCTGAAGAGTAGTCGCTCTGCAAAACTTATAGCCGGCTGAGTGAATTGTTGCAAACAAAGCATTGTTGACGTTTCGACGAGGTTTCACGACGAAATAAAGCCACGCAATAAAAAACAAGAAATTCTGCAGCAATTGCTCAGAGTTTTAACCTTCTTTTATCGTAAACCTTTTTTACCACAGTTTTTGCAATCGCCTGGGGCGTGTTCTATTAGAGAACAAAGTAATTTTACAAGTCTGGCAATCCAGGGGTAATCTGTTCGTTAAACTCCTATTTTGACGAGCTGTCAATTTACAAACGAACCGAACCGTGAAATATCAAGAGGCGTTTTTCAGAATCGTGGGGTTTGCGGGCAAGCGTTTCCTCTTCTCCCCTCCCCCTCCATCCCCCTTCCACCTTTTTTTTTTCGCTTCCGCTCTAAGTTTCGCGCAATAACTCGATTGGAAACGCTTGCTACTTAGGCTACGAGAGCTTTGCTTTTCGCTCTGGCTAAATCTATATGTTATAGAGTAGAGGACATTGTGAAATTTGGAGTTCGGGTCAATGACATAAAGTAATTATCAGGCCCGGAATGTTCAAACGTTGGATAGCGCTATCCACCGGGAAATCACTACCCAGTAGATAAGTATTAGGGAAACCAATTGGATTATCCACTGGTAGATCTGGTAAGAGATTTATCCAGTGAATAGTGTTATCAACCTTTTGAACAACTGGGGCCAGTACGAGTAGTATGGTTATGTTAAGCGTGTAAAGGGAGACATAGGAGAGTCTTACCTCTCTTTTTTCTAAATAAAGTTACAAAGTTCTTCACGCATACTTTTTTAGGCAAATCGATTTCTCTTCGTTTCAAAATTATATCTTGGGGAGAAGGGAGAGAGGACAGTTAACACCTGAACATGATCTAAATATAATTACATTATTCTTATACATGAATTACATTATTTCAGGAGCTAATGCCTGTACAAAGTTAAGCTTGTTTGAACAGGCAATGACTTGGTGTGATGAAGGATTAGCTGTATCCTTTTGATGTTTTTATGCCTGCATGACTTAAACGTAGTTCAATTTAATTTTCAGCCTGTTATATGCATTACTTTCACGCTTTTACTTGTAAACACCAGTGTGTCATTACAGTCCTCTCGGAAATGTCTCATTGCACCTGATCGAAGAAAAAAAGCCGCCTATAATCCATATACGTCCCTCGGGCCGTAATTATTTCATGGTATTATTCCTGATAGATCTTTTTAAAATGGAAAACACATGTGTCTGTCTTAATATTATAAAATTTGAACCGAATTTTCGGTCTGACCAAATTTTCGGTCTCTGTTTTACCAGAAGTTAAGACCCTTTTTTAAGAGAACAAAGCACTATAGCTATTTGCACGCTCACACCTTCATCGAATTAAAAAAAACAGTGGCTGCGCCAGCGGTCACATCTACGACGTAACTAAAGTTTAACTTAAGTTAGTGTCAAGTTAACTGATGTCATACCTAACTGTAGTTAATGCTTTCGGTCGACATTGCGGTCACACCACGCTGTTAACAAGAGTTAGTTCTAATTAGCCTATGTAAATTTTTTGTTTGTTGTTTTTGGTTTCCCCCTCGCTTCACGCTTGGTTTTGTATTTTGCATATTTATATATGCTCATCTCGCACGTGGAAAAAGAAGTGTCACATTCTGATTGGTTGTTTGTTTGTAAACTTAAGACTAACCTACGAACCCTGCTTGGGTATAACTATAGTTAGTCTGTATTGTTTTGGATCACCGAGGCGTAAATGTTCTAACTATAGTTAGAGCGAACAGAGAGGTGGTCACATTATATAGTTAGTAGCCCAGATGTGACGGCAGCCAATGGAAGTTCAAAGTGTGAGGTTCAGCCCTGCTCTTTCCTGCTACGTTATCAAGCCCTCCCCGGACTTTCCGTTTGTTAAATATTCAAGAGGGTTGTACGTTAGATAAAGGTTGTGGAACAACAAAAGAAAAGGTGTGAGTCATGAGATAAGAATTGTTACAATCTGAAAGAGCCGGTTAAGGGAACTCTAAGAAAAGTAATCAGTAAGAATAAGTAAAAATTTCAAGATCCGAAAAAACTAGAAACATATAGTTTTAGCACTGTGCACAGACGCCCCCACCCCTAAAAAAAATTCGGGGAAGAGACGTCTGTGAATCGCTGACGTTAATCGTATTCTGTTTTCCCCAGGAATGTCGGGGAAAGCCTCTGATTGGTTAGCATATTAATGCCTTGACCTGAGTAATTTTCGCTGTTGTGATAGGTAAATGAATCTTAGATTTCCCCGAGGAAAACGTCAGCCTCAGAGGGCAGCTTTCGAAAACATCAAAACATTGAAATGTAAATATTTTTCGACTTTCCAGCATGTGAAATGAGATGACTGATGTTTTCTGCAACGATTGCGGTCGCATGTGTACTCTGCCGAGAAGGACGTAAAGAGAAGGATGTAAAAAATTCAACGCTTAATAAGAGATCTTTTATCTGTATTTCAACGTGGGCAATGCGTGGAAAATATTTCTTTGGCCCGCAGTTGCGCCGGTCATGACTCGTATAAGTAGAGAAAAGAAGAGCTCTACTTTCAAATGAAGAGAATAAGTGAACTATTCAATTCTTCAGGCGAAACCTGCTGCATAAAACTCTTGCATAAAACATTTGATTGGAAATGTAAACTTTGACAGACGGATTCCGAGATCAGAATTCTGTGAAAGCAAAAAACCACAGGAGATCGATGTACACGAAACAGACCAGCTTCACGACTAAGACGAAAGGACATGTGTTAGAATCCTCCAAAGTATTATATACTCGTTATAAAAAGGAGTACTAACAACTCACTTTTTTGCTAGATATTCTAGTTAGAAGTCGTGCTATAAAGACCTATAAAGGCTGAGAATAACCGCGTACGTGCTGTGCAAGAGTCTTGTTGGTCCGTCAACACTTTTTCAACTTTCAGAGAAAAAAAACAATAATAATTAATTTATGCAAATGTATACCGGTACACGATTAACGTGGGCGATCCACAGACGTCTCTCTCCCCAATTTTTTTTATTCGAGCGGAGGGGGTGTCTGTATATAGGTTAAGAACATGAAAAGAAGATTCCATCCAAGGGAGGGGTCATACGTTTGTGTTCATTTTCCTTCGTTACACGCATTCTCAGTATTATTTACACCTTTATAAATTAAAAAGATTGACAAGGAAAACACCACGCTGTTGAAACTGAGGAAACTGGCTGCAGACAAAGCGAAGTGTATTTCAGGAAATGGGGACTCAGACGACAAGGTATTTTGTTTAGTTCTTGCTATATATAAGAAGAATTTTGCCTTGATACGGCGATCGAAATACAGTGGAACCTATATTCAGGGGACCGTCGGGACCAAGGCAAGTGTCCCCTGAATGGAGGCTGGGCTGGGGTTTGATAATAATTAACCAAAAAAAATAAAATACTGCCCGGAATCTGCTATAGTCATTATTTAAAGGAGTTTAATAATGTTAAAAAAATATGATTAACTCATCACTGCGACGTTTGGTGTTGAATTCCCACAAGTACAGTACATCGATTTAATGTAGATAGTTCAAGTTTGGAAAGCTCTCACCATGGTAACTAGTGTATGCTTAAACTTATCAACGATTTTAGTGGTCAGTCACTTTATGAGTGCTAAGGTGTCCCCTGGATAAAGGTTAAACCTAGGTTTTAGGACCCAGAAAAAGTGTCCCTTTCCCCTGAATAGAGGTGTCCCTTCAATACAGGTAACAAATACAAGGATTATGTGAAAATTTTTCCGGGACCAAATTTTGTGTCCCCTCAATGGCTGTGTCCCTTGAATAGAGGTGTCCCAAAGGAGGGGTTCCAATGTAGTCTGTCATATTACTGGCCATGTTGCCTCCCAATTCGTGGTTTATGGCGGAAGTTATTTTCTGAGAATACCTTTTTGTCTACGACAATGCCCACCTTGAGGGAAGTGGCAAGTGGCCGTTATGAGGAGGCAAGGGTTATATGCCACTATTTTTTCCGGGAGGAGGGTAAACATTGGAAAAATAAAAACAAACATAAACATAACGTAATGTGGCTTTTTCATACGTAACACAATAGAAATTTATCAATAAAACTGAAACCAAATTTTGAGAATAGAAAATA